CCTAGTGTATCGGTACACTCCAAGTGCATCGGTACACTAATTGCATTCGATGTTTCAATAGAGCCAGGAGTGCATTGATGCATTAGTTGTGCATCGGTACACAAAATTCATTCAAAGTTGGGTGTGCATCGATACATCAAAGAGTGTATCGGTACATCCCTTTGTAAAATTGATTTTTGGTTCGATTTTGGTTCGAAATACTTTGTAAAAATTGTTTCAAAAATATTTTAACTTTAGAACACAATTTTACGCTTTAGTAAGGATTGAAATTGACCTTTGAAAAACTTGGAGTAATATTTTAATATTCGAATAATTTAATCGAATATACTTTAAAAGTGATTATAAAATCTTAAAATTCAATAACAATTAATTTGTTATATCGAAACATCAAAATGTTTCAACAGTATTCTTTTTCACATAGCTCATAGTCATAGGTTTTATCTGATAACATATACATATTCTCATATATAATTCATATCATTTCTTATACCATCACATAATTCAATTATAACCTTTAACATAATTTATTACACTGACATATATTCACATAACTCATTTAACATACATAGCATATCTTGTAACATTATAATATAAACACATATAAGTCATATCACTTTCACATATCTTTTATCATTTATTTTATCTCTTATGATCACCTAACCTATTATCACACATACATGCATTTACATGGTTCACATATAAAGATGCATTCAACAATTAGACATATGAATTTACTCATATACATCTAGCATCATATCACTACATGATTATGCTTCGATACTCATAAACATCATATCACACCATGCTTGTATTCTTTTACTCATGTCATCTATTATCGGAATTAGACTCATCGCAAATCTAAATTCCCTAAACATCACGTACACTTAATAGCATGTACTCACCTGGTCTCAATGAACACTATCAAGCTCTTGTTCTTTATTGCGAATCTTACTCTGCCGACCTATCCGAACTTTGCTTTCGATCGATGTCTACACTATCATGTATTGATACATATCAGTATTCCAATTGGCATACTCTAATCATTCATTTCTTAGACTAAAGGAAAGGCTAATTTCATTTATTGTTTAACGTAGGTATCGGTACCCTCTATAGGGTATCGGTACATCCCTTAACTAATGTATCGGTACATAAATTACATTCGAAAATTTTTATTTCAAGGGGGTATCGATACCCTTTGAATATCTTCCTAAATTTTACTCTTGAGGTATCGGTACCCTGTTGAATGGGTACCGATACCCCTTACCCATAAATCACTTATTGAACCTGAAAATTTAACACTTTGCCCCCAAATTCTACTTGTTAACCCCTCCTTATGCCTTAAAACTTATATATACATATGTAAACCTTCTTATAACACTATAACACTTCATCATCTCTCATAACTAACCATAATTCTTGAATCAAAGAATTTCATCAAATTTTCCATGTGTTCTAAATTCATTTCTATCACCTCTAACTTCTTAATTAAACACTTGACAAGTCAAATTCATCATTATTACTTCAAAAACCTCTTTAAATCAAAAGCTCATTTCTAAACCCCTAATAAAATTTCCTTTCTAATTCTCTCTTCTTAATGTTTTAAGCTTATATAAGCTTTCCTGAAGCTTATATAACACCCAATACTCCAACCCAACCTATAAATTCAAGAAATTAACCAAATGAAATCAACTTACCTTTGAGAGCTGGAGCCACGAGAGGAAGAAGAAAAAAGAAGAAAATAAGCTTCTGGATCTTTTCCTCCTCCCCTACGTGTTATCTCCCTAAATAAGGAGATAAAAATATCCTTTAAGCTAAATTACCATACTACCCTTTTAATCCTTTCATAATTACCTTATAATCCAATACTTAAATATTCCTATTAAAATCCTTGAACTTTTCAATTTTCCTAAATTGATCCTTAAATTTCAAAAATGCTCATTTTAGTCACTGACCCGAATTTTGGGATGTTACATATAATCTTATGGTAATGTTTGATTTCAATTTAAATGATTTTCTATAATCATATACAATACACATATATTTCAATATTTTTTCACGTATGATATACATATCATAAAAAATTGATAGGCTCAACTCAAACTTCAAAATCAATCCAATAGTTACTAAAAATTGAATTATTCGAGTTTTATTTTATAATTTGACTCAACTTTTTTTTTCAAATCAAATAAAATCAAGAAACCAATTTTTAAATTGAGAAATTTTACTCAACCATACACGTAATATTAGAATTTTTATATAAATTAAAATGTATACACTATATAATATACTTTTTATTTAAATTTATTTAATAATAACTTTGTGTTCTAATAATATATAACAAAATAAAAATAAATTTTGGTAATTGAAATTTTGTAATACTGAAGTATTTTTAGGGTAAACTATGTTAGCTATTACAAATAATCAAAATACGTCGAGAGGGGTGAAACACCTGTTAAAATTTTATGGTAGAAACAGTCGAAAATTAAACCTTTGCACAAAGAATTTAGAATGGTTCAACTTCTAAACTAAGTTTACATCCACTACCTTGACATCCACAATAAAGATTTCTCAAATCTATTAGATTTGCTAACTGTTAAGGACAATGTATAACCTTACAACAATTCATAAGGTTTATACCCTAAACCTTGTTTACACTCTTTCCACATAAGGAATTGCAAATAAAGATAAAACTTCACAAGACAAATGTTTTTACAATAATTTAGCTCTGACCCAAATCACACTTGAACAAAATAAACAAAAAATCTCACAAGTGTGTTCTAAAGAATATGATAATTTTAGCTCTAAAACTCTTTTGATGTTGGTCCGATCTTGCAATAATCTTTCTTGTTGTTCTCCATTTGAATCTTGGTCCCTTTTATGTTTTCTAACATCCTTCTAGCTGTTTGGAGTCGTTGGTGGTTGATTAGAGCCATTGAATTCATTATTTTTCAACATTTAATGCTCACATGCACCTTTGGTATCGATACCTAGAAATGGGTATTGAAACCAAGCATCCTAACAATCAAAATTATGAACCTTTGACATCGATATTGTTTAAGTGAGTATCGATACTCACCTATCAGTATCGATACCAACACTATGGTATCGAAATCAGAAAAGCACACTGAAAAATGGATATCGATGTTGACATTTTGTTCTCGAGACTGAGGGATTTTTTGTGTGGATAAAATCAAATATTTTTTAGCTTTCAAAATATTTATAAGTTATTATATGATTTAAAAACACTTATCCGGCCTGACTTCCTTAATCATCTTCTGGAACATTTCTAAAACAGTACGGCCTCATCCATGCATAGCTAGTCCACTAAGCATAGCATTCCATGCCACGACATTCCTTCGCGGCATGCACTTGAAAACTATGATTGCAGTGTCGACCCTCCCTCATTTTGCATACATATCCAGCATGGCAGTTTCCACCATGATATTCATCTACCCATCACCACATCTCCGGCCTGCGCACAAGCTGACAGTAAAGAACAAAGTGTTGTATAATTCAATTTAAATCCACAATGAAACAACATCTGACTCAAAAGCAAAAAGCCCTCCTTGCTAAACCCAATCCCTACATAACCAACAATCATGATCGTCCATGTGACCTCGTTTCAGTGTGGCATATCATCGAACACCTCCCTTCCATTACTTACACCCTCTCACCTCAACACCCCATCCAAAACCACTGTCCATGACACCACATTCTTCTCCTCCATCTCACCAAAAACCCTTCACATATCCGTCACCATCCCAGACTTCCCATACATATCCATCAGCGCATTACACACTTTCACCCTGCCTTCCAGACCCATCTTCAGCACACGCCCATGGCCCTGACTCCCAACCCCAACATCCCGCAACCATGCACACGAACTAAACAAGAAAACCATCGCCACATCATCAATTTCGGTCCTGTTTTCAAGCATCAGAGCAAACAAAAGTATAGCATCACGAGGCCTATTTCGGCGCGAAAAGGAGGACATGAGGGATATCCAGTCTGCAACATCCTTGCTCATGTGGGGAATTTCATCAAACAGTTCTGGGCGAAGGTTATATCACCACAAGACGCATACAAGAGGAGTAGGGTGTTGAGAGTTTGGGGCGTGGAAAGGCCAGTAGTGAGGATTAAGGCATGCAGTTTTTTGCCTGTGATGAGAGCAGATCGTTGGGAACATACCCGAAGGAAGGGAAGAAGGAAGCGAGGAGAAAAGGAAGGGAAAGCTCGGAGGGTTGACCATTTCATCTATAATATTCTAAACGACTTACTGTTGCCTTTGTAATTGTGCAAAACATTGGAGTGAAACCAATGTTAGAATTGTGGAAGTCATTAGCCGTATTTTACGAACCTGCCACACTGCTTTTCTTCACTTGGTTCCCCAAGCATATTAGACTTTAATCTGTGGAGTTTGAGGATTGGTTATGTTATAATTTGGCTCATCCTCCTTTCCATTCAAATGATTTTATGAGGACGGGTTCAATTCAAATATTCTCCTTTCCATTTTGTCAATACCTATGTTTATATTAGCTATTTTTATTATCTAAGAGCAAATAAATCAATTTAATACCTAAGAATTGACTTGAGGAAAATGTTGAATTCAATAACCAAGATTAATCAATAAGTAAAATGTTAATATGGGTTGCCGGCATCCAGCAGTAGGGTCAAGTCACGTTTTTAGGACTTTTAAATTCTCTTATTTAGTCTTATTTCAACCTCAAATAATATGAAGTGCTCAAATCACTAGTAATTATAAAATTATCATCAAATTATGATGCTGATCAAGCTGGACTTATTAGAATTAACAAATTATTAAAATAGCAATCTTAGTTTTAGTATGGTGTTTTGAAAAACAAAAGTGCTTAGTAGTTAACAAATGGAAGCAAATACATGTTTTGACTTGGTCAGGCAAAAATAGCCTGAACCTGAAATGCACCGATCATCTAATATATATACATATATATTTTTGTTCATATAATATATTAGTAAGGATAGGGTGAAAACAAAAAGGTAAGCAGAAGCATCAAGACATATTCAAACCTAAAATTCCCTTTGACAGGATCATCACTCACTCTTGTCATATAAATCGAGAGCAACAAAACCAAACCACTAAACCATCTGCCAATCCCCATAGCTAAAACAGAACCAAACCAGAAATTAAGCAATTATGGATAGGAAAAGAAAGGCTAGTGAAGTTGCTTCTGAAGCTGAACAAGCAATGACTTGGGATGAAATAGTGAAGGCAGCTGCGGTGGCAGCCACCGCATCGGGAGGAGAAAGGAGAAGAAGGAAGGGATTTTTGGGGGTCAGGCAAAGGCCATCAGGCAGATGGGTTGCTGAGATTAAAGATACCATTCAGAAGGTAAGGGTATGGCTAGGCACTTACAATACTGCGGAAGAAGCCGCCATGGCATATGACGAAGCGGCTTGCTTGCTACGTGGTCCCAATACAAAGACAAACTTCTCCTCATGTTCTAATCCAAATCCATCTCTTTCTTCAAAGATAACCAATCTAGTTCTGCAGAGGCTTAAATCAAACAGTTCATGTGCTTTTTTACCCGTTTCCGAACCCATCAATCAGCTCCCGTTTCAGCAATCAGTGGATAAGTATAAAGAAGAAACATCAGATTTTTTTGAAGCCCAGTTTCCCGATTCTCCCAATGATCCTGAGGATCATTCTTTCATCCCCAATGATGAAACCAAAAGCACAACCGATAATGAAGAAGGGGAAGAAGTGGAGGCAATTGATTTTAAGTTCGTTGATAACATAGAATCATCGTGCTATTGCTCACCTTTTCAGATTGCAGAAGTGATTGAAACAGTAATGGAGGAAGAGAGTTTCGGGGATGAATCATCGATGATTATTGGCGCGATGAAGAGAATGGCATATGAACGCAAATTCTCAGCTTCTCTCTATGCTTTCAATGGGATAGCGGAGCTGTTGAGGATAAAGTGTGGCCCCAAAAATGTGAGGATATCGGAAGAGTTGGCAGGACTCGGAAATGCGTGTAAGAAGAAGAAAGGGAATGAATATGATGCAGAAATGGTGGGGGGAAAGCAGGAAGAAAGCCCACAATCTTCATTTGATTTGAGTGATGGTGGATCGCTTTGGAGCTCCCTTGATCTTCCACCCATCTCCACTGTCAACTCATCTTCAAGCTTCGTCCCGTAACTTGCATTCATATAACTATTTGTTCATGTGCAAAAACGAATATGGAAAAACAAATTAAACTTTATTTTTTTCTTGATTTTAACCACCAGCACAAGTAAAATCTATATTTCTAGTCATTTACCATCATTTTTGGTTGTTATTTTCTCTTTTTCCTTCTTCAGCAAGTTGTATTAGTACATAAAACATAAGTTAATTCTATGATAATACATAAAAATTACCCTTCAATCCTATATAACATTGGGGAAACACTAATTATATCAAGGTAAACTGTGTCAACACCAGCACATACACAGTAATATTGCCTTGGTCTCCGCAATTGCCCATCTAAAATGGAGGGTTATAAAATAAAAAGAAGCTTTCCTCCAAACTACCAAAAATGAAGGAAAGAAAAAGCTATATACATGGAATTATTATTCTTGTTCTTATTCACTTGCATCATAGGAGATTCATTGACAAGAGTCTGAAAGTATAACCTTCTCGTGTTACAGGACCCGGAGCTGCACAAGGAAAGCAGCACAGAGATCCAAGAAGAGGAACTGTGGCCCCTGAACCCTCTGAAGATCCAGCAAATATTTCTCCCCGCGGGTTTTATAAAGCTGTTGGCATCTATGACATAAGTTAGCACTTTTACTCGGGGAATTCAATAATTACAACTAAGCAGAGCAACCCTAACACCTGATTTCCATATAAAAATCCTGATTGTGATCGGACATTACCTGCACTTCGAACTTGACAACATTTAGGGCCTTGGTAATTCCATCATTTTCTATAATGGTTGATTCATCCCCAAAGTAGTGATTATTGAGCACGGAATTGTTAACCATGCCTTCATTAAGACCGGGAATGTTAGCAAGCCACCTACACTTCATGTTGTAATGACCAATCTTCTTCCAACAGACATTGAGTTCTTGCAGGGCTTTGAGCACTTCTGTCATAATTTCACGAGGATGGGCCCGAGACTACAAAAATAAAAACAGCACAATATCAAACTCAGGTGCATTAGAGTAGTCCTACTATTGGTACTCAGCACATCCTACATACTAAATCTAGTCTTATTTGTCAATCTTCTCGAATAGTAGAAAGTATCAATGTAAAAGAAGGGCTCTTATGTAGAAAAACGGCATGAAAATCACAAACTCAACTTGAAGTCCAAGAGCCCATTTCCTCTCAAGGCCCCTTAAACCCATTGCTTGATAGTCAGCATATCCTGAAAGGCAGTGTCCAACAGCTGGAACTGTAGGTTCATTTAGACGGATGCGGTTGAAGCCAGATTCCTAAAAATTATTAAAAATAAATAAATTAGAATTCCAACCCTATATGAAAGTCCGAAAATAAAATTAAAATAATAATAATGTAAAGAGAAATAGGTCACTCATCAGTTTATTACATGACTGATGAATCTGTTTTTTTTCCAGTTAAATGTAATTAACCCAACGAATGAGGCAGCTTTAGATAAAAAATGTCAGCAATAAATTGAAAAAGTAGAAAATAGAAAGGCACCACAGTTTCTTGAAACTCAGCTCCAAGATGGCCACTGGAGACCCGGAACAGATTGTCCAATAGTAGATAGTAAGCAACAGTTCCCTGGAAGATACTCGAACAAAATAAGAAACTGCCCAAAAATCATGAGATCGAGTAGTTGGAGAAGTTCAAACCTCATTTTGAATTCTGTTGCGAAGAGATTCAATCAGATGGTTTCGATCGAATCCCATCTAATCTCTTCCTGAAGGATCTCTTCATCATCTGCAATTGCATTTCAATCAGAAAGTAAACATCAGATCATCAAAACACCTAATATAGAAGAATTGCCCAAAAATCATGAGATCGAGTAGTTGGAGAAGTTCAAACCTCATTTTGAATTCTGTTGCGAAGAGATTCAATCAGATGGTTTCGATCGAATCCCATCCTAATCTCTTCCTGAAGGATCTCTTCATCAATCTGCAATTGCATTTCAATCAGAAAGTATAACATCAGATCATCAAAACACCTAATATAGAAGAATTCAAAATGTTGAGGAACTACTAAATGGGTAACTAAATCTTATGATATGATCTATAAAACATTTACGCGAGGCTTTTGTCAACAACCAAAAATTGGACGTTAGGGGATATGTAATAGCAAGGAAATAATTTATTGGAGAAAACATATTTCCCAGAGTCCAATAACAAGCAAGGAGAGCACAATAATTCAAGTCTCTTGTTTTAGCATTAATTGTTGGAAATGAAACACTCACACAAACAACTTTTATTGAAACTCAAACAAATATTACAAGAGCACTCTCACTCAAAAACAAGAACTACAACTCCCTCTTATAAGATTTTGCTTCTTCATTCACTTAGAAGCTCTTAATTTTTCTTGATGCTTAAACTAAAATGGGGAGGGGTATTTATACTATTCAAGAACAATCATACACTACACAAATAAAATAACTTAAACCATTAAAATATACAAATACCTAACTCTCACCTAAATAGATTGATGTAAGCAATGACATCAATTTAGTTTGGGTTTGGGTTTATGCTCCCATAATGGATCAAGTTTATGATCCAACACCCCCTTAAACTTGATCTTGTGACCCCTAGTAAGTTTCTTAATCTTATGAAGTCTTCGCTTGTCAGTGGCTTGGTAAAAAATTGGCAACTTGATCTTGTGACTTCACGTATTCAAGTTCCACATCGTTTCTTGCAACACACTCCCTTATATAGTGGTAGCGAATATCGATGTGCTTGCTTCGATCATGGAATACTGGATTCTTTGCTAAGGCAATGGCTGACTTGTTATCGACACAAACCTTGGTAGGCTCTTCTTGTATAAAACCTATCTTATTCAATAGATTTCTAAGCCAAATTGCATGACAAACGCATGAGGTAGCAGCAATGTATTCCGCTTCACAAGTGGACAATGTGACAATCGGTTGTTTCTTTGACATCCATGTGAAAGCAGTATCTCCCATGAAAAATACGAATCCAGTAGTGCTCCTTCGATTATCTATGTCTCCACCCCAATTACTGTCGCTATATCTAACAAGCTTGTAATCATTAGAAACTGAATAGAACAAGCCAAAGTCAATTGAACCTTTCAAATAGCGAAGAATTCTTTTTACAGCTTTAAAATGGGTGGTTGTTGGAGATTCCATATAAAAATTAACCAATCCAACTGCATGAAGAATATCGGGCCTCGTGCAAGTTAAATAGCGTAAACTTCCCACCAAACTTTTGAAAAATGTTGGATCTACACTTTCTCCTTCTTCATGTTTGGACATCTTGATCCCGTATTCTGTCGGTGTGCTTATTGGCTTACAGTTCTCCATCTTGAACTTCTTCAGGATCTTCTTTGCATAGTTTTCCTGTGAAATGAAAATTCCTTCCTTTTGTTGCTTAACTTCAATGCCAAGGTAGTACGCCATGAGCCCCATGTCTGTCATCTCAAATTCCTTCATCATCACATCCTTGAATTCATTAAACATGCTTGGGTTGCTTCTTGTGAAGATCAAATCATCCACGTAGAGGCACACGATCAAAATATCTCCACCTTTGATCTTGATATATAGAGCGTGCTCGTAGGGACATTTGTTGAAGCCATTCTCTTGTAAATACTTGTCGATTCGGCTATTTCATGCCCTTGGTGCTTGTTTTAGCCCATAAAGAGCCTTCTTCAACTTCAACACCTTGTCTTCGTGCCTTTTGACTTTTGTAGCCTGATGGTTGCTGAATGTAAACTTCCTCTTCAAGAACTCCATTTAGAAAGGCAGACTTTACATCCAGCTGTTGTATCTTCCACTTGTTTTGAGCTACCAAAGAAATGATTGGTTTGATAGTCTCCAATCGAGCAACAAGAGCAAATACCTCATCATAGTCAATTCCAGCCTTTGGACTATAGCCTTTAGCAACTAACCTCGCCTTGTGCTTTTCAATCACTCATTTGGCATTTTTCTTTGTTTTGTACACCCATTTGACACCTATCGACTTATCTTCCTTGGGAAGTGAGGTAAGTTTCCATGTGTCATTCTTCTCGATGGCCTTGATTTCTTCGTTCATCGCATCTCTCCATTTCTTTTCTTGTACTGTTTCTTGAAAGCTCACTGGTTCACAATCGACAAACAGACAAAATAATGTAATATTATCTTGTCGTTCAGTTACCTCATAGAGATCTCTAAGGCTTCTTGTACGTTGCACAACTCTTTCACTTTGACTTTCACTTGACAATGACAAAGGTGATGAGTCTCCTTGAGTGGTCGATGTTGGTGAAGTGGGTGGAGTTGCAAGCTCTTGTTGAGATTCATCTAGTTGTTCCCTCATTATCTGCTCATCTTCTTCAAACTGAGGAAAGAAATTGAAGTTATCTGTATGAGAGTTAAAATTCCATTCTCCTTTTTTCGTTGAAGACCACATCTCGACTAATCACAAACTTCTTATTGTCTGGATTGTACAACTTGTAGCCCTTCGAATTAGCATCATAGCCGATGAAGATAAAACTCTCGCTTTTATCGTCAAGCTTCATTCTTCTCTCGTCTGGTACGTAAACATGGGCTATACTTCCAAAGGTTATCAAGTGGGAAATGTCAGGCTTTCTTCCACTCCATGCTTCTTGCGGTGTCTTTCCCCATACACTTCTTGTTGGAGATCGGTTTGTCAAGTAGACTGCACACGCTACTGCTTCCGCCCAAAATTCATTGGGTAAATTCTTGCTTTTGATGATGCTTCGTGCCATGTCGATGATTGTTCTTTTCTTTCTTTCCGCCACACCATTTTGCTGGGGGGATCTAGGAACTGTCATTGGTCGATGAATTCCATTTGCTTCACAGAACTCTTGAAACTCCCTAGAAGTAAATTCTCCATCTCGGTCGGATCTCATGGCTTTCATCTTTTTACCACTTTCTCTCTCCACTGCTGCTTTGAACTTCTTGAAGACTTCGAAAACTTCTGACTTCTGTTTCAAGAAATATACCCAGATTTTTCTTGAAAAATCATCAATGAAGAGAAGAAAATAGTTACTGTTACCGAGAGAGCTTGGCTTGATCGGTCCATACACATCGGTATGGATGAGCTCGAGTAGCTTCTTGGCTATTGTCTTTGACTCCTTTGGAAAGCTTTTC